GAAAACAGGCCCCCTTCACGACATGTCTCAAAACACGATCCGATGCCACCTGCTTGCCTTACCAAGTCGTCACTCTATCTAGCGGAGGGCTTTAAAAGTTAAAGTCAAAATTAACAGTTAAATGTTAATCACGTCTTAATTTTATTTTTATATTTTGTGTGTAAACCTAAAGTGTAGAACTAAAAAATGCTAGAAACGAAACGTCGTTCTAGCAACACTGCTTAGCGCAAACATGCAAAGGGCGTTATCGAGGGAGATGCGGCTCTTCAAGTACTGGCCACCCTGTACGCATTCACAAGTTGTTTCTCAACGGAGCTCCTTTTTAGCAATGTTTTGAAGCTTCCTTAGGGACGTGTTGTCTTTATGTTAGACTTGTTTTTTGTATTATCCATGTAACCATCTGTATCTGTATCCTGTATGTTTATACATAATATGTAAGTAGCATTGAATCTTAAACAGTAAGCTAGCACATGTTCGAACAAAGGATTATTTTCTTTTTTCTCTCTTATTCTTATGATTGTTCAAATCTTAAAAAAAACTTTGCTTACATAATATGTTTTTAAAGCGTCTATTATCTTATTATACGGACAACTTACAACTATATGCAAAGATATACTTTATGAGTCGTCAGAGTACCTAACTGTGGAGGTTATTTTTTAATTAGAAGTTTTTCTTGTATCGTAGAGGCATTTTATAACTACAAACTGCACATAGACTAATGTTAATATAGACCCAGAACAATTATTTTGTAAGTCGTACAAATAAATACTGTCTTCAGTGCGGGATTTGACACCATGGCCTTCATCGCCACAACCTAATGCGTAGCCAAGTAGCCACGGCGCTATAGAATCGTAACACCACGTATTTTAAATACAAAATACGATTGATTTCTCGCATAGTAACAGCAAACATAAATAGAATTAATTTAGGTTATGTTCATGACATCGGTGTAAACTTTAGTTGGCCATAGAGAGCTGCCCTGACTGAGGTGCGAGGGGAAGTACTGATGTCTGGGGGTCGTCTGCGGCCCGGCCGCGACCTACATCCAGCTCGGGGGTTATGACGCGCGTCTACACTGCACCCTTCCCCTCCCTCCTCTACCTCACCAGCTTACCTAATGCAGACATGAATTTGCAAAAAGCGGTATGGTTACGTTGGATGGGTGTTGGATTGTAAATAGATGCTTGCAGTTAGCAACACTAAAATATATACGGCACTGAAAATAATTCAATCATCTAAAAAAGTTGTAAATCGATTTCAATCATCGTCGGGTCTGGTTGAAATTTTTATTGAACTGCGAAAGTAATATGATAAATAGGAAATCACATAAATCGGTTATTACGTGGTACAGCCAGGCTGCATATTATAGTTGCAGTGCGAATGACAGAACTTCTAGCAGAATATTAACGTAAAATCGCAGCTCGCGGCAGCTGTTGTGTTTCGTATGGTGAGTGTAGAGAGCCGGACACACCCTTTTCACTGGAAACGAGGCATTCCATGTCAGTCCTCGGGGGTGACAACGTATCTGCATTTTGATTCTTAAAGTAAGGTAAAGTTACAGCTCAAATACGTCCCACTGCTGGGCACAGGCCTCCCCTCATTTCTGAGAGGGTATTAGGGCAACGTAATGTTCACCGCGCTGCCCCAATACGTGTTGGCGAACTATTTTTTTTTTCTTATTCCTCAGACATGCAGGTTTCCTCACGATGTTTTCCTTCACCGCCGAGCACGTGGTAAATCAGCACTTAAAATTGCAATTAACAATTTCATTGGTGGCCGGCGAGGATCGAACCCGGGTTACTCGCGTTCTGTTATATTTACAGCGAGCGTAAACCATCTGAGTTACCACGACTTTTGATTCTTAATTGAAGGTAAATGTAGATGTTTGTGTCCTACAGCATACACTGCTGTGTCACCCTTATTCCATAAAAAAACTACGGTTGACCCTACAGGACATCCCTGGAACTTTCTGCTAATTTCAAATGCAAATGCTGTTATTGTATTATACAATTTTGAAAAACAAATTTTTTTTATTATTTTCAAAACCGATTATGTTCCGAACAAATCAACCTATTTTGACGAACTTGACGGCTTTCGACGCAGTTTTTTTAAGCACTCATAGTTAGTTTATTACATCAAAAACGATCCGAGAAGAAATTTCGAAATTATTTGAAAAAAAAAACCTTTTTCGAATTTTTTCGTTAACGATTTCTTTGCAACGATTTTGATGCGGCTTGTAGCAACCGACGGGTTTTTTTATTTTATTTTAAAGCTGATAAGATTTTAGAATTGATCGTTATCTTTGTTTTAAAGTTATTGCAAACAAAACATTTTTTTTTACATTTATTCCTTGGGCCTATGTTCAGCATGTTATTAATTTATAGACAAAATAAACATACTTACACATGGATTTATTTACGAGGGCAGGATTCGTCACCTAATACGATGTATACAGCATTTGAGGATCCTGCGTGGAATCTTTCGAGAGTTCTGATGCACCAAGTAAAGCGAGCCGCTTTTTGCTTTTCACAGAGCGAATGCGGTATCCATCGGAAAAACAACTTTTTTACACCTAACTGTTCATGCAAGATTATTTGTGTTTGACTCATGCCAATGACTAAAGTTGCCTGAATTTCGCGGTATGTCACATGTCGATCTTCCTCAATCAGCTTACGCACAGCATCAACGTTTTCTTGGGTGACTGCAGTTTTTGGATGACCTTGACGGGGATCATCACTGAGCTTGACATGTCCACGTTGAAATTCAGCAAACCAGCGATAAATTGTCGTTTTGGATGGGGCTTAGTCACCAAATGCAGAAATCATCCGGTTAACACACTGTTTTTGTGTTAAACCACTTCGAAAGTCATAATAAATCATCGCTTTTGAATTTTCTCGAGTCAATTCCATTTTCTCAACGACTAAACAAGTTTGATAAAACCTTGTGACAAGACGGAGAATCTTTTTTTAAATAAATAAATGGTATTCGTTTTTTAAAACCAAGGAGTTTTCATTTAAAAAGATTTTAATATGACAGGAACAGTGGAAATATTCCATTCCCGATACTTTTAGTGCAGCCTAGTACGACAAAGATTTTCTTCAATTAGCGTAATGTGAACATGAATGAGTGAATGTCGAAGGTGCTCACGTCTGTTGCTGCGATCATCAATCCAACTGCCAAGTGTGATGATCAAAGTAAATCATGACAAGACCAGGTTGGACATGGTAGAGCCACGCTGCAGCTATATCTATTATGTTTATAGCACGAATGGATCGGCTCGACCAGAGTAGAACCTCGCTCTCACAGAATACCAGCTTAGAAAAAGTCCCAATTGGGCTTTCACGGGCAGTTAAGGAAGCAGAACTTGAAAGAACGGTAGTAGAAAAACCAGTATTTATAACCTATTTACCACGTCACAAACTCGACCGCGTAACAAGTTTGATACTTGTTACGCGGTCGAGTTTGTGACGTGGTAGAGCCACGTTGCAGGTATATTATGGCTACAGCACGAATAAGTGAGCTTGACCGGGGTAAGATCATGCTTTAACAGAATACCAGTGTAAAACAACAGAATAAAGCTGTATTTCGTATGGTGAGTGTGGAGAACTCGAGACCCTTTCTACTGGTAACGAGGTATTTCATCTTAGTTCTCAGAGATGCTAATGCATCTGTATTTTAATTCTTAATCGAGGATAGATGTATATGTCTATGGATTATCATCAGGTGAACTGTGTGCTCGAATGTCACCCTACTTCTATAAAGAAAATAAAAAGAATTGATTTTTTACCAGAACAAATACGAGGGGCGGCTGAAAAGTTTTGAGCCCAGGTTATTAAAACTGCTGATAGAAAAGTATACAAAATTTATTTTTCTATGTTATCATCTCCCTCTTCTTCAATGCACATCTTACATTTATGATAAAGGGCTTTTAATCCAGTGAAAAAATATTCGTCATCTTTGCCTTCGAAATGCTCTTCTATCGCTGCCTTTATTTCATCGTCACTCGAAAATCTTCGTCCGCGTAGGTCTTTCTTCGAATTTCAATTGCTGGGGGCTAGGTCTGGGCTTTGTGGTGGGTGAATCATTTCTTTAAATATAGTTTTGTTTAAGGCATGCCTTGCAGCTCGCGCAGTGTGAACGGGCGCATTGTCACTTTTCGCCAGTTTGCCTCTTCTTTTTTTGACAACCACTTACGCAATTTTGTCAACAATGCAGTGGCGAAGCCTCCAAAAACTTTGTTTAATAATATCCAGTTTCGCGAACTTCGGTCCTGTTCAGAATGTCCACTCAATCTTGAATTTTTTTTAATCATCGTGATATAACTATGGGAACAGCGGATTGTAAAATGTTTCTGTTTATTTTTTTTACAGAATAGGGGTGACAAAGGAGTAAACGCGTCCTGTTTGGATAAGTGGATGTCTGTATTAACATTTTTTTTCGATTAAAAATCGAAATGCAGATGCGTTGTCTCCCCTAAATAGTAATAAGGAGGGTATCCGGTTCTCTACACTCACCATACGAACACACTCAACTCTCAACTACTCAACATACAGCAATATTAAGCTGCTATTCTACGCTGGTATTGTGAGAGCGTGGTCCTTCCCCCGTTGAGTCGACCCTTTGGTGCTACCATCATTATATAGCTGCAGCGTGGCTCTACTACGTAATAAAAGCATAATGATGCTAATTATTTAAAACTCTGTATGTATACTAAGGAGGTTATACGCAAATACATAATATACAGCGCAAGAGAATAATGATACGTGAAGGTACTTAGACTCAAAAAATTTCAGCCGCCCTTCGTATGGTCGTATTTAATACTTATTGCCATGCTTATAAATAGGAGAGTGCAGTAAGATATCTAGACATTTACTAGAAAACTATTTTTAATTATCTTTGTATCACATAACAGAAATAAAATCTTGTACATCTTGAATACCATTTCTTCTTACAGGTTTGTTTAATAGTTTTTGTTTAATTTAATTTTCTCTCTATTCCAGGTTGTGGAGACAGTCGTCTGCAAACCGGAACCTCCGGAGTCCCCGCCGAAAAAGGCGCGGAACGAAGACTATAGCTATGCGCTATACTTAGACCCGTTCGCTCACCTTCATTACCGTCCTGCACCAACGTTCAGGCCATGGGGAAAGAGTGAGCCAGTATTGCAAAACCCCGAAAGAGTCGTCAGAGTAGCCGATTGCACCAGATTCGAGCGGGATTTCCAGCCCAACGTTGCTCTCAAACCGTTAACTCCTCCGATAGATGATGTGACGTCATCAACTTCTCCGCCGCCGCACACAGATTGTGAAATAACGGCAAGGCTATTGGATGCAGAAGCAACACTCGCTGAACGCGTGAGAAGGTTAGAAGAGAGAGAGGCCGAACTGGCCCGACGTGAAGCTAGACTAGAAGAAAGAGAGAGGGAGCTAGAAAGGCGCGAGCGGGCAGCAGAAGAGACGGAGTCAGAAAAGAAACCCGAGTCAAATGCGTCGTCGCCAAAACAAGAAGAAGCGGAACCTCCGCCATGTTGACCAACGCGTGTGATCACGAGGCTTGCCTCCGTGACTAGCGACGAACGCTCAGTGACATTGCGTCTTGACAGTACAAAACTTTGAGGTGCTGATTGATTTAACAAAAGAAATGTATTTAATTTTGTTTGGAGACGCTTTGTGTATAAAAAAAAAAACTACGCCTAAATTTTAATTATTTTGTCCAATGTTTGGCATATTGTTAATAACGCCCGACTGTACCGGTGTGTACCGGTAATTATACTACATAAACTATGTACCATAGTGAGGTTTCGGAATTTAAACCTCCATATTACTACAGTGCAGTGGTTCAGTCATTCATAGAGTACACAATAAATACAGTAGTTGGGGACAGATAAAGTTATAGTTGTACATATACTTATTCATATCAAGTACAGTTTTGTGAAACCTTTGTTGTTTTCTAAGTAATTGCCAGTTATTTCTCTTGTATGTATTATAATCTTCGACGTGTGCCATTTGGAAGGCACTTTTGTTGCCTTTTCATGTAACCTCACTCTATGCTTTTTAACAATAATTAAGAAAATACTCAGGATTACATAGTAAAATAGTTGATAAAGTCTAAAACCGTAAGCATAATTTATACAGGGTTATTCTTAAGTTTTACACAAATAAGCAGTTTTTGATTATTCTCTTTTTAACCCATCATCCTTATCTACTCCATGTTGTACTGGCGTGACATGATAGATATTTAATTTACATAACTTATAATACGTAAATAACTATATAATACTGGTAAACATATCAGACGATTTTAGTATATAACAGTCGTTTTGAAGTTTTATAACAAATAACTCTGTATAAAACCTCCCTTGTCAAAGAAAACCTCAGCCAAACCAAATAATAATGAATTATACATACCATAAACATAAATTACAACATATAATAACATTACTTTTCTGTACAATAAAATTATAGCACATGTCTATCTTATTTTAAAATGTCTCCACATCATCAACATTTTTATTATCATAGTTGAGTACTTTTAATTAATATCAGTCACTTGTTAAAAAATTACGACACGAGGGCATTTTACTTTGTTAGAGGCAGCTGTATGACATGAAATGACGAAAGGTTTATTCAGAAAAAGCTTTAGTAATTAGTATAGCGAGACGTTTTATCTTTATAAGGGCTACTTCTTACAATTTTTATTTAAAAAAAAACAATTAAATTGTGGTTTATGTATTGTAGAAATGAGATTTTTTTTAATCATAAATATTGTCGAACAAGTGACTTAACTAGATGTAACAAACTTACAAATTTCTCGGCGACAAAATTAAGGGCTTGATCCCAAATTCTACCTCATTGTAAATAAAATAATTATTTGGCTAAAATTAGAAAGCATCTATAAAAGGGAAGTTCTCTGTAAGGTTTACTTACTAGTTTATTTCGAGTCACTTGGAGCAATAATGTAAATTAAAGTGATATATTCAATCACTGCCTGAATTAAAACTAGGTGATGTTTCTATCTATTGATATCTAATATAAAAAAAATGTAAATCGGTTGTTTGAGCAGACTGTCAGATGTTGTATCAACTTGAAAATTGTTAAAAATATATTCACACATTTATCATCACAATTTATAATTGTATGTTTATAAGTTTTTTTTAAAGATTTTGTACCTCTTACTGTATGTATGCACAGCATACATAGCAACCAAACACAATCTATGTACAGCATGTTTTGTATGTATACTGTAGCCTTTGCCAGTAATAGTGCATTTTTTTTCTATTAATGATTTTTGCAATTGAGCAAACTTTACTTTTATCCTAAGTGTTCCACTCACACTATATTTATTATGTTGCACATGGCAACTCTGTCATGTCTTGCAATCATTGCCAACTTTTAGGGCAGTTTGAAGATATTTAGATTGTGTAACTAAGCTATATTCTAAGGCTTTATGATTCAGTGGTGCCCTTGTTGATATGAATCAATTATTTACATATTTTTATTTATTTATTTATTCAAGAGCCATCAAGAAATTTGAGGGGCATTTATTTTATTCAACATTTTAAATAACAAAAAATATAATGATAAAAATAAACTTAAATTTAAATGAAGTTTTCGAATGTTTCTTCTTGTTTGCGTTTTACAAAGTAAATTTTAAAAAAAAAAACAAGTACTTCTACGCTCTTGTGTAAAAGTAAAGACTAATAACTGTTTTAAAATACTTAAGACGGGCTAAAGATGTTAGAGGCAATGAAATTTGTGAAATATAATTTCACCATTTGAAACTGTTGATGTGTTTTGGCAAAGCTCAAACATGTACATTGTACACTGAGTTAAAAGTTTTTCTTTAAATATTTTATTACTTGCAAAGAGTGCTATATATGTTTCGTTGTAGTTAGTCGTTACTAAGATATTCTTTCATTTCTAGGTTACGTCGTATCTCTAGTCAGAGACATTTCGAGAAAAAATTAAATTACCATTTACTTTTTAATATTTTATTAAAATAGGCACCACATGCGAGTGTAATAAGAGTAACTTATTTTAAACAATAAAATTAGATTTTACTAGAAATGGACTGCATGTTGTATGTAATTAAGGTACTAAGGTAGGTAGGTATATTATGAAACTTTTCTGTCTGTACCATTGTTGGACAATTTTGGTGCTATGATATTTTTGGCTTGGCTAACCTAGTGTTTAATTGTATATATAATATCATTTTAGTATTTATTGGCAACTACTTCAGTTCGGATATTGATTATTAAATGAACTAAGTTGATTGAAATGTTAAGAATTTGGTTTTACCTAAAGATAAATGGCGAAGCCATTTTGACCTAGACACTATAGATACAACTCAATTTCTATTTTTAATCTATTATTTTTGTTAACCACTCCCTGATAAAATAAATTTGTAAACGCGAGTTGTGTCTATGTTTTAGGCTGTTAACTATTGTAACGCTTTAATTATTATCGTAGGTTGTATTATTGTATTGTATTGATAGAAAAGTTTCAAAGGTTGTCTCACTGTCTTGGTTGAAGAATTAATGGTGCTAAACCGCAAACACAATAAAAATTTATTTAATATTTTAATGTGTCATGAATGTTACAACTAAACTTAATGATATAAATATACTTCGCACACTTTTTATTGGTTCTTGTTTTACATTCGAATGTTGACTGGGAATTTCATTTTAATAACATTTTTTACCTACATAGTAGTACTATTATTAATGTCTGCAATGCAGTCAACTGTACAAGACTGTTGTCAACAAGAGCTTGTGTTTCTTATTTTTATTAGTAACTAATATATTACATAACTGGAGATTCAGTCTTGGCCAGCCTTGTATTATGAAAGAAAGAAGACATGTTTGCTTACACAAAACAAAATAAAAGAAACACATTGTGTATAATGAGTTCAATTTATCCATGTAAGACAGTGAGATCCCTATTTTGTAAATATAATTTAATGATACGATACGAAACAATGAGCGAATGCCAGGCTGTTGTAATCCCTTTAAATTATAGAATAAGACGCGTATGAATCTTCCCTCCATTTTTAAATACAAAACTTTCAATATGGTTCCAATAAGAATAGGAACATCAGTGACCGCGACCTGTCAACTGTCACTTGAAAAGTAGGGGAGAGATGAGCACTTTTTCACATACGATGTAATAAAAAAGCACATGTTTAATATATCCAATATTTATTACCAAGTTCAATTCCACCATACTTTTTTTTAAAGAATATCAACAATGCTATAAACATTACTAATATTCCCCTTTACCACTCGTGGTAAGCTTAAATTGCTTGTGTTAAGAGTGGTTCACACCAGTAGTCGAATGGTGGATTCGAACCCACGACCTTTTTGAGTTCGCGGTCCGCGCCCTGCCATTAGGCTACTATCGCTTAGCTGCAGATTTGGCAAGATGTTTTACAAAGAACAGTCTACAAATTATAATCAGTCTCAAAGTTACAAAAGGATTTCAGAAACATGTCAATTGTGCCCAAAGCTCCCCATGGTAGGGAGGTTCGGGCATCCCCTGTGGGTGGTTTGGGCATGATGTTGAAAACACCCATAATACATAATATAAACCGAAAATTAGTGAAGATTTAAACCTGGATGAAGAATGCTTTACACATTCTTGTTTAAGATATTGTAGCAACTTTGTTCTAGGTATTTCAAACTTATCACCGGTTGTTTTTATGTTACCGCGTTTTGAAACTTCTTCTATGGTACGAAATATTCTGTCTTTCGGAATTTCGCATCGCTTACCCTTCTTTTTATACCAACGACATCCTTCTACAATTGAATCATCGAAACATTTTAACTTAATTTACGTAATGTGAAACAAACTATTTCACTATATACATTACTTAAAGGTGGGAGCATTGGGCATGCACAAACCACCCTCAAAATAACTGTCCATTGCTCCCTCTGCATACTCTTTCGACTTAAGTTGTTGTAAGTGAAGTTGTATGGTTAGATATTTTAGTGTTTACAGGTTAATCTATATGTTAGAAAATATACAACAGAAATAAAATTAAAATAAAACACTTACCTTCACTAGTTCTTCGATTATTTATGGCGAAACAACAAAAAAATGTTTATTTTAACGCGCAGCTAACCTTAAAGAGCGTGTAACTTTGACAACTGAATGAAATGATAAATTGTTTATTGATGAACAGTTTTGTCAGTGAGTAAAATAAACAACCAATATAAAAATAAAATAAATTTTACAATTGATCTGGAATTACGAGGGGGTACCCATGTCTCCCTACTGCCCAACTATTCCCTACATCCCCTACAGCTTGCAAAAAAATTATGACTACTCAGACAGTGATGCGGAGATGAGCGAAGTTGAAATTCTAGATTCAAATTAATACAATGTCGTTCATGGTTACTTTGTAAAGAAATACCAAAAAAATCTGTTTTGCTCACCCTACCTAACTGGTTTGAATTGACAGCAATGACGTCACAATATGGCGACAGATCAGCCCTATTCTTATTTGAATCGCAAAGTACTACGTACTACCATTA